CAGCTTCCTTCTGCAGTCAGTGGTTCCCTTACTTACTTACTTACTTACTTAGGCAATCCCTTGTAGCTTGACAATGATTGTGGTATCTTGTCGGTGGGTCCGTAGGTGGCTGTGGAGCCCTATTCTTGATCCGCGTCTCCTGCAGTGAGGACATCGGTTTCCAGACAGAAGGTGGTACCTGTCAGAGTTGGCTTAATGAGTCTTCCTCTTGCATGTTTCTCCTTTTCACCTTCCATTTGTGCCTCTTCAAATTCTACAGCACTGCTGGTCACAGCTGACCTCCAGCTAGAGCGCTCAAGGGCCAGCGCTTCCCAGTTCTCAGTGTCTATGCCAGAGTTTTTAAGGTTGGCTTTGAGCCCATCTTTAAATCTGTTTTCCTTTCCTTCCATTGCTTGTTCTTGGTCTTGTAGCTCTTCTGATGTCTGTGGTGGAGTCTCCATCAGCCTGTAGAGCCCAGTTTAGGTGGTTCAGTTCCCCTTGGAGAAGGTGGGGTTTGCAGATTCTTTTTGCACAGTCTGCCAGGGCTGCAACTGTGCTTCTTCTTTTGAATTGGGTGATAGTTGGAGTTTTTTGTAAGCTTTAGAATTATCCTCTCAGGGCGTTTCTACACTGCCAAATGAATACAGTTTGATGCCACTTTAACTGCTAGAGTTGGGCTTTTTATATTGACTAGAGAGGGAAATTATATTCAAAAATAAATGTGTGGTTTTGCAAGGAAAGCAGCATGTTCTGCACAGAGAACACCACATTTTGGTTCCTCTTTACCGCCCTGTACATTACAAAGACCACAATTGGTTCACTTACAAAAGGGAAGAAGTAGGGCCTGGGAATGTTGACATTTCTCCAACACCCAGATATGTGAGGCTGGTTTGACATTTGGGGATTTTAAATTTAGTAAAAAGGACATTTAGTGTGATTGTGTGAAGTGACACACACACACACATACGCATTTACGCATTGATGGAGCCCCCAGTGATGCAGTGGGTTAAAGTGCTGAGCTGCTGAGCTTGTTGACTGAAAGGTCTCAGGTTTGAATCCAGGGATCAGCATAAGCTTCCACTGTCATCCCCAGCTTCTGCCAACCTAGCAGTTTGAAAACATGGAAATGTGAGTAGATCATTAGGTACCGCTCCTGAATTTTCCGCTCCGGCGGGAAGGTAACCGCACTCCATGCAGTCATACTGGCCACATGACCTTGGAGGTGTCTACGACAACACCGGCTCTTCAGCTTAGAAATGGAGATGAGCACCACACCCCAGAGTTGGACATGACTGGACTTAATGTCAGGGGAAAACCTTTACCTTTACTACATGCAGTACGTTGAAGAAGTGAAAAGAGAAGGTCTTTGCACACTCCCTCTGCCCTTTTGTTCCTCTTACCATAAACAGAAGGTAAGATTATTCCATTAACTGAATTGTGGAAAATTCAGGATAGACAAAAGAACAGCCTTTTCCCCATCTAATATTTTGTTGCTAAGCTTCCCTTTTCTGTAGTTACACTTTAACCAGGAGAATCAATATGGGTAACTAGATGCAAAAAGGATGACGTGCTTCTTTCTTTAATAACTCTGAAGAAGAAGGAAATTGGATGGATGTACAGGGCTAGAGTGGTTAAATGCAAATGAGACCTCTCAGACTTATAATAACTATGTACAAGGGAAAATATCAGCAAAAGTAGCTTTCTCGGAATACTAGAGATGGCTATGAAGGAACTACGGATTTTCAAATGTAAATAGAGAGACTGAGTGAATACCAGTGTCAGGATTATTCATGCCATAGCATTTCTGATTATTATGGAATGTGTGGTTCTGAAAACTGGGCGAATGCAGAAGGCTGTCAGGAAGAGAAACAACGCCTTTGAAATGCAGTGCTGGAGGAAGCCGTCTAGATCCCAAAAAGACAAGCAAGTGAGGACCCTTCCACACAGCCTTATATCCTGGAATATCAATGCAGAAAATCCCACATTATCAAAGTTTGGACTCCGATAACCCAGTTCAAAGCAGATATTGTGGGATTTTCTGCCATGATATTCTGGGATATAGGGCTGTGTGGAAGGGGCCCCAGTCAGAGGGTGTATCTACAGTGCAGAATTAATTCAGTTTGACACCACTTTAACTGTCATGGTTTAGTACAATGGAATCCTGGGAGCTATAGTTTAGTGAGGCACCAGTCCTCGCTGGTAAAGAAGGCTAAGGCCTTTTAATATAGAAATGCCCAGGACTCCATATCACTGAGCCACAGCAATTAAAATGGTGTCAAATTGCATTACGCTAAAACAAAGATGACTAAACTGAGACTTTGAAAATATGATATTGCTAGTGTTGGGAATAGGAACCTTCTTCAAGCCTCCACTGGTTATTTGTTATGTATATAATTTAGATTGCTTACTGTGTGTATTGGTATGTGTGTATTGGTATGCTGTTTTCCTTAACTCTATGTTGTGGGAGGGGCTGCAGAACATGTGATCAGAACTGGGACTATTCAGGACTCAGACTCCATTTTAGATACAGTACAGTATGCTTTCAGACGCCATTAGAAACAATATGCTTTTAGAAGACTATTGAAACAGACTTTAAAGACTCTATTGCACTCAAATATAGAGAGATGCTTTAGACTATGGACTATTGATTACAAGAAGGATGCCCTGTGTTATCTGCACAGCAAAACTACTTCAAATCCTATCTGTAACTGGATTGATATGCAAGGTACCTGAATGCTGAATACATGAAGTTTGTGAGTAAATCAACTATGTTATTACAATGAAGTTTACTTATTTTTGTCTCTTGAGAGCATGATTTAAACCAAAATGTTTTAAGGGAGAGTAGATGTTTTTTGGGCAACTGAAAAGAACACTTCTAAAACTGCTACATACATATACAATATACATAGTGCATTGGCATATCTTTGTTTCTAACAGTTCAAAGAAATATCTAGATATATCAGTTTACCAGCTGAGAAACCCCATTGCCTTGCATGAATGCTAGGGTAAATTTCAGGCCATCTCTTGTAGCCTCAGGATGATTGTCCTCCAAATGTGGTGTTTTTGCAGTGGGTCCATAGGTGGTTGTGGAGCCCTATTCTTGATCCGCATCTTCTCCCGCAGTGAGGACATCAGTTTCCAGGTGGAAGGCAGTTCCGGTCAGTGTTGGCTTGATGTGCCTTCCTCTTGGCATGTTTCTATCTTCCGCCCTCCATGCCTCTTTGAATTCTGCAGCACTGCTGATAACAGCTGACCTCCAATTGGAGTGCTCAAGGATCAGAGCTTCCCAGTTCTCAGTGTCTATGCTACCGTTTTAAAGGTTGGCTTTAAGCCCATCATTAAATCTCTTTTCCTGTCCACCAATGTTATGTTTCCTGTTCTTGAGTTGAGAGTAGAGTAACTGCTTTGGAAGATGGTGATCAGGCATTTGGACAATGTGGCCAGCCTAGCAGAGTTGATGACGTCGGAGCATGGCTTCAATGCTGGTGGTCATTGCTTCTTTCAGCATGCTGACATTTGTCCGCCTGTCTTCCCAAGAGACTTGCAGGATTTTTCGGAGGCATCACTGATGGTATCGTTCCAGGAGTTGAGTGTGATGTCTGTAGACAGTCCACGTTTCGCAGGCATATAGCAGGGTTGGGAGGACAATAGCTTTATAAACAAGCACCTTGGTTTCCCTACAGATGTTAAACACTCTCTGCTTCTCTCTGCAGAAAGAGAGTGAAAGAGAGAGTAGGGAATATTTACTACTAAGTAGAACGTTGACTCCAGCAAGTTTTTAACCCTTCTCAGCAGGCCCGTAGCCAGGGTTTTGTTTGGGGGGGGGGGGTGTTTGTGGGGGGGGGGGTGGGTCTGAGTGAAAGAGGGTCTACCCTAGCAAACCTTTTGTATCGTTACCCCAATACCCCCATGCATATGGGATATATTGAGCATGGTGATCAGATCATGATATGAATAAACATAACAGTTTAAAATAAATAATGTACCAGTAAGGCCTTCTCGTGGACCTTCAGAATTTCAGCCCCCAAGCCTTTATAGCAGAGCCTTTATAGCAGTGGCACCATCACTCTGGAATACACTGCCACCTGAAGTCTGTGCCTTGTGGGACCTATCAGCTTTTCGCAGGGCATGTAAGACATATATGTTTCGACAGGCCTTTGCTCTCTGACATTGTTGTTTTAAATTGTTTTAAATTGTTTTTAAATTGTGTTAGATTTTAGCCTGTTCTTGTAAGCCGCTCCGAGCCCCAGGGTAGTGGCAGCATATAAGTTTGAATTATAAATAAATAAATAAATAAATAAATAAACAATGTCCTTTTTGTTCAGTCTGTTTCTGGAGGCTACTGGTGGTTTTTCAGATTCCCAGATTCTGGATATGTGTCTGGGATACTATTCCATCTCCAGATCCTAAGTAAAAACTAGAAACAGAAACAAACAACAAAGAATTTTGTATGTCTGTGTCAGGAATGACTTGAGAAACTACAAATCGCTTGTGGTGTGAGAGAATTGGCTGTCTGCAAGGACATTGCCCAGGGGATGCTGATAGGTTTTACCATCCTATGGGAGGCTTCTCTCGTGTCCCACAACAGGAATGGATGTGATGATAATATCTTATTCCAAACATATTGTCCTCATTTCATCGGGTTTTTTTCCCCCAAAAAAGGTCTCATTCTTCCTGCTTTGGTGTTCACTTTTTTCTCATTCTTTCCATTTCATAGGATCCTTTGGGTAACAGTAGAATTAAAAATCAAGACCAACGTTTTATCAAAAAGAGAAAAGAAGATGGGCTACCTCCTTGAAATCTTGGTTTTTGGGCTTCTTTCAACTGGCCTGCTTTGGGAGGGTAAGAATTGGGAAGAGGAGGAGGAGCAATACCGCATGCATTTTCTGGATCATCCCCAGATGTGAGCAAGGGGAAGATGTGAGCCTGATGTTCTCTGCATGTAAAGTTAAACTTCTTGTCTTCTCTTTCCAGGTGTGCAATGTGACACAAAGCTATATAAGCTTTATGTCCAACCTGTGATGGTCCAAGAGGGACTCTGTGTCTTCATCCCTTGCAACTTCACTTATGACCCAGCTGATGCCGATATTAATTCCAAATTGAATGCTTACTGGTCCAAGGGAGGATGTCCACCTTCTCCTTTAGTGGCCACCAATGATCCAAAGAAAACTATAGCAGATATTGCTCGGAATCGCTTTTTTCTTTCAGAGGAAGTGGAACAAGGCAACTGTTCTCTTGTCATCAATGATGCCCAAAGAAATGATGGTGGGGAGTACTGCTTCAGAATGGAGAAAGAAACTGCTGCAAAATTTAATTTCCCAGATAGATTGAAATTGACTGTAAGAGGTGAGTGGTGATAAGGACATCTGCCTCCCTGCAGAAGCTTCAAGTGAAATACACAAATACATCCTCTGCTGAGTGAAAGGATCTCCTCCACATACACTGCTCCAAAAATGTGATATGCTATAAAGACAGACATCAACCAAAGTTCAACAGGAAGCCACAAACAACAATGGGCGGGACTTGTTAAGTTCACCATTAATGGTCTGGGCAAGCAGGGATTATGAACTCTGGCACTACTTTTCAGTTGTCCATGCACTCCTAATATCCCTCACTGGTTCTCCAAGTTGTCTCCTGTTAAAGGCATAGCGAATATGATCGGCTGCCACATACTATTCCATGAAATGTAGTGTACACTCTTTATGCCACAAACATAGGCACAGACAGGAATGTAATAAGGTGTAAGAGGGAGGAATGGGAGCATTTGGGGAGGGGGCAGTTCTGTCAATTCCAGAGCAAGTGAGATCCTTTGGCTTCTGAATCAGAGTGCCATTGAAAATCAGAGGACTGTGGAGACTCTTGGATTATCTCAATAGGACATCTGAGACTCACTCAACCAAATCCTTGATAAAGCTTTCATTCTCTTTAAGTGCCCATATTATTTATGTCACCATGCAAAAACATCTCCATAAGTGATTTCTTTTGTGTCAGGAGCAACTTGAGAAACTGCAAGTCGCTTTTGGTGTGAGAGAATTGACTGTCTGCAAGGATGCCCAAATGTTTTACTATCCTGTGGGAGGCTTCTCTCATGTCCCTGCATTAGAAGCTGGAGCTGACTTTGTGAAACCTTTGGGATTATCATATGTTGGCAGGCAAATTGTAGGCATGGATATCCAAGAACCAAGGAGAACTGTCCAGGTGCTCAGGAAATAATTTGCATCAACAGGAGTGTTAATAAAACTCCTCATTCATATATAGAATGGCTTCCAGGTTGCACTTCAGAAACTTCCCCCTTTTCTTTTGCTGATTCCTTATATCCTGGGACATAGGGATAGAAAACGGAATGTGCCCATTATACTCTCATGGAGTAGAACGATCAACCAAAATGTTTTATGGGTTGTTGGGAGTTTTCTGGGCTGTGTGACATGTTCCAGAAGCATTCTCTCCTGACATTTCACCTGCATCTATGGAAGGCATCCTCAGAAGTTGTGAGACCTGACCTCACAACCTCTGAGAAAGCTTGTCATAGATGCAGGTGAAAGGTCAGAAGAGAATGCTTCTGGAACATGGCCATACAGCCCAGAAAACTCACAACAACCCAATGATTTCAGCCATGAAAGCCTTCGGCAATAAAATGTTGTATTCTATGTGAGATGTAGCCCAGTTGTGGGAAAATAATACAGGGCTGGTGTGAGTAGCTGTATACTAATGACTCTCTTTTCCTCCTTCCTTAGAATTGCAAGACCCGGTAATAAACTTTTCTGGGAAACTTAAGGCGAACGATCATGTAAATATCACTTGCACAGTGCCAGGAAGGTGTTACTTGAAGCCTCCACATGTCTCCTGTAAAACAGTGGCTAGAAATTTCACACTGAGTGCCTCTGTGTCAAATGATACCCACGTTCACAGTGTGTTTGACTTTACACCCTCAGTGGCAGACAACAAGCAGAACCTCACCTGCGCAGTCACCTATGGAAATGGAACCACCTCTATCAACAAGGAGACAACTATCCTTCTGAACGTCACATGTAAGTGGCTCTTGCTATTTGTAGCAGGAGCATTTAAGGTCTTAATGTTTTTTACCAACACTGCTGTTCAAATTAGTCTGATTGGGACTGAAATAGGTATAAGAGGGAGAAGACCTCAGGAAAAGGCTTGGTTCTGCATAAAATAATTGTGAGTCGTATTATTCATTCCCTGGCCTCTGAAAGCAGACGTTTTGTCTGAGCATTGCTTTTGGGCATCGTTGTGATGGATCTCCTCTCTGGACCTGCCCCACAGTTCCAAGCCCTTGGGTCCTGTTCCTCACTGTGTGTCCCCCCCTCCCCCCATGATCCCTTCTTGGACCAGTTACTTTGATCTCAAGGTGATCCTTATATAGATCAATGGTTTTATCAGTGGGTTCATTGGTGAGCTTGATCAGACTCTATATTGAAATTTAATAGGACCATCCAGACACAATGGTAAAAAAAGAATGCACAAAGTAAAGTATACAAAGACATAATTTGTTTATGTATTAACGTCTGAGAAGCTCCTGGTGTTGCAGCGGGTTAAACAGCTGAGCTGCTGAACTTGCTGACTGAAAGGTCGGTAGTTCAAATTTGGGGAGCAGGGTGAGCTCTCGCTGTTCGGCCCAGCTTCTGCTAACCTAGCAGTTCGAAAACATGCAAATGTTGGTAGACCAATAGGTACTGCTCAGGTGGGAAGATAATGGCATTCCATGCAGTCACGCCAGCCACATGACCTTGGAGGTGTCTATGGACAATGCCAGCTCTTCGGCTTAGAAATGGAGATGAGCACCAACCCCTAGAGTCAGACATGACTAGACTTAATGTCAACGGCAAACCTTTCCCTTTACTTTACCTTATTAACCCCTGAAATATTCATCCACAACTCCCCAAAACTCTATACACTTCTTTTTCCAGGTGACTGCCCTATTTCTATGCCATCTTCTTCCCAAAGCTCTCGTAACATTTCCCTTATCTCTAGCCATCTTTTTCCTATCTCTCTGAATTTTTCCCCTCTGTCTCTTGGCCATATTTTCTCAATTCATAGACCATCTTCTTCCTATTTCCCTGCCATCCTTTCCCCATCTCTTGGCTCAAACCCCAATAAAAAGGATATTCCTTTACATTGCAAGAACAACGAGGCAACTGTGATGTTCTTGGTGCTTAATGCAGTGCTTGGAAATGATGGATTACATAGAATATTATATTAAATACTAACATGTTGAGTTAATGAAATGTAGTGCCTTTAAAAGTAACAGAGTGGGGCAAGAATTAATTTTGGTATACTTTGTAATTGGTTCTAGTTATATTTAAGGTGTTTTAACAGACATTTGGAAGGAATCTTTGAAGCTGCATAACATTTTCTTATCAATGTGATGGGTTTTCACTATTAGGAACCTTTCTCAGTTTATTTATTTATTTATTTCACAGTTTTCTATACCGAGCTTCTCAACCTCATTGAGGGACTCAGCCCGGTTTCCAGCCATAAAAAACATATACACTCATTAAAATATCATATATCACAATTACAAAAACAACTTTAAAAACACTATATATAAAACTACAGTGGTCAGTCGTCTATTAAGATGGATCTACATCAACTTCCATCCAGGGTCCTATGGTGTTGTCTCATTCATCGAAGGCCTGACTCCACAGCCACGTCTTCACCCGTTTCCTAAATGTTAGGATGGATGGGGCGGTTCTGGCCTCCAGAGGGAGAGAGTTCCAGAGTCACGGGGCCACCACCGAGAAGGCCCTGTCCCTCGTCCCCACCAGGCGCGCTTGCGAGGCCGGTGGGACCGAGAGCAGGGCCTCTCCAGATGATCTTAATAATCTTGATGGTTCTTGATAGTATATAGTTTTACTATTTTAATCTCCATGTCTGCATCCTATGGAATGCTTGGATTTGTAGGGAAGGTAGTAGGAGCCCTTCCACATTGCCACATAATCCAGAGTATCAGGGCAGATAATCCACATTATTTGCTTTGACCTGGATTATTTTAGTGTGCCATATAATCCAGTTCAAAGCAGATAATCTGGATTTTATACAGCTATGTAGAAGAGGCCTAGAGCTGTCTGGTAGAGAATTCCAAATACTTCTCTCTGAAACAACAATCTTAGGATTTCACAGAATGGAAACAATTAAAGAGAAGTCATAGGGCTCTTCCATACAGCCCTATATCCCAGAATATCAAGGCAGAAAATCCCACATTATCTGAGTGTGGACTCAGATAACCCAGTTCAAAGCAGATAATGTGGGATTTTCTGCCTTGATATTCTGGGATATAGGGCTGTGTGGAAGGACCCATAGCCATATAACTGTGTAACATTTGATGGTCCTTAGTAAACCAAAGTAAAAGAAAAACAATGAGCAGATCAACAAAATGCATACTGTTCATTTCCAAATAGCGTAGTAATTTTCACTGACTTTTTTTACATACCCTATAAGCATTACAAGGAATGGAAGTGAACTACTTTTGTAAAGGAACTTTCCAAGATTTGATTGAACAAGGAATGGTTTACTGAAAGAAAGCCCAGGGCAAAATCTAGAGTGGTGCAATACAAAATAACATATACATTCACCTGAGTTTGTGGGTCCAGCCCAGCTGTTTCTCATATCTTCAAGATGCTAAAAGAATAACCAGAGATTGCCTCAAAACATCCTGTCTACTCTTGATTTGCATGCTACAAAACTAATGCTAAGCAACCTGAATTCATTAGTCCTGGTGTACATCATATTGCCAGTGGGGAAATTGTGTTGTTGTTGTTGTTGTTGTTGTTGTTGTTCAAGTCATTCTAGACATATAACGAATGGACCTCAAGACTTTGAAGCAGCTAAAGAGTCCAGGTTCTAGTCTGTATGATATCTTGTTGTTGTTGTTGTTGTTGTTGTTGTTGTTGTTGTTGTTGTGTGCCTTCAAGGCATTTCCTGTTTATAGCAACCCTAAGATAGGGTTTTCCCTGGCAAGATTTGCTTAGAAACAGATAATAATTGCCTTCACCCAAGGCTGAAGAATGTGGGTTTCTGTAACCAAGTGGAGATTTGAACCCCAATTTAACTCATCACACAATCCTACTAGTGTTGAAAAATGGAATATGATAGACATATCCACCTCATCCAGAGGTTAGCTATCCAATGTCTGTATCCCTTGGGGGAATTATTTACAAATGACACACCTTAATCCCAGTTTCCTCATTTAATACTGGTTGGTTACTGCAGGAGACCACATGGATAAAGCCAACATTATGATTTTCTGCTTTAATAATGGAGTGGGATGGGAAAGATCCCAATAACAGATTCTCTTCTAAAATATCCTGAATTCTCAGCAGGATGGTTCACTCACACAAAGTCCTTGCTCTTGTCTTACAGACCCACCCGAGACGCCAGTTATCAGTTACGAAATTAGACGTCTAGATAACAGTAAGTTTTCATGTACTTGAGAAGCCATGGCATTATGTAAATTATACTTAGGTTGTTGGTTTACCTTGCAGATTCTTGAGGGAACAGCAGTAAATCTGAACAAATTTAAGAACCACTGACGCTTGCATGAAAAGTGATGTCCGTGGGTTACCCATGTTGCATTTTGAGGCGTATTGTACTCAGTGGACACTTCTGCTATGCAGTCTTTGAGTGCTCTTGGCCATTCCAAACCCCAAGCCTCTGTTTCCCATCTGTAAAATAATACAGACCTATAGAGGAGCCCAGGAGCCCCCAGTGGTGCAGTGGATTAAACTGCTGACCTGCTGAACTTGCTGATCAAAAGGTCGCAGGTTCAAATCCAGGGAGCAAGGTGAGCTCCCGCTGTTAGCCCCAGCTTCTGCCAACCTAGCAGTTCGAAAACACGCAAATGTGAGTAGATCAATAGATACCGCTCCAGCGGGAAGGTAACAGCACTCCATGCAGTCATGGCGGCCATATGACCTTGGAGGTGTTTATGGACAATGCCAGCTTAGAAATGGAGATGAGCACCAACCCCAGAGTTGGACACAACTGGACCTAATGACAGGGGAAAACCTTTACCTTTACTATAGAGGAGCACTGCAGCAGTCCCTCCAACCTTTCACAAATGAAAACTATTCAACTAAAACCAGAGCATGGTCAGGATGGCCAACATTATTAATGAGGAAGAAGACACACACAAGGAAAAGTGTCTTTACTGAGAAGGACAAAAATATGTCCCCTGCTGTTGTTAATTGAATGTGAACTACTTTTGCTTATTGAACTAAGGGTGTATATACACTGTACAAGTAATTCAGTTTTACACCACTTTAACTGCCATAGCTCAGCTCAGTACTATGATGGCTCACCAAACTACAGCTCTCAGGATTCCATGACATTGAGCCACAGCAGTTAAAGTAGTTTCAAACTGGATTACATCCATCATGTAGATGCAGCTTCAGTTCCTAACAGGAGAAGGTAGAAAGTAGAAAGAGAAGAACTGATCTTCTAGTATACCAGGCAAATGCTGTTCCTTTATCACAGTGTTTCTCAACCTTTCTAATGCCACAACCCCATAATGCACTTCCTTATGCTGTGGTGCCCCCCAACCATAACATTATTTTTGTTGTGACTTCATAACGGTAATTTTGCTATAAATTTCTGATATGCAGAATGTATTTTCACTCACTTGACCAAATTCGGCACAAATACACAATATACCCAAATCTGAATATTGGTGGAGTTGGGGCGGGGGGGAATTGATTTTGTTATTTGGGAGTTGCAGTTGCTGGGATTTATAGTTCATCTACAATCAAAGCATTCTGAGCTCCACCAATAATGGAATTGAACCAAGCTTGGCACACAGAACTCCCATGACCAACAGAAAATACTGGAAGGGTTTGGGGGGCATTACCCTTGAAGTTCAGAGTTGTAGTTCACCTACATCCAGAGAGCACTGTGGACTCAAACAATGATGGATCTGGACCAAACTTGTCATGAATACTCAATATGCCCAAATGTGAACACTGGTGGCGTTTGGAGAAAATAGACCCTGACATTTGGGAGTTGTAGTTGCTGAGATTTATAGTTCACCTACAGTCAAAGAGCATTCTGAACCCCACCAGTGATAGAATTGGGGCAAACTTCACACACAGAGCCCCCATGGCTTGAAAGGAGTTGCTGGCACAAACCTGCCTCCAGCCTCGCATGCTCTCCCTTGCTTGGAGTCTCAGAACAGTCCTCCCCTTGACTGAGAGTCTCAGAACAGTCCTCCCCTCCCCATAGCAGAGGAGGGTTTTTGGTGGGTGGATTCGCCCTCTGTTTCCAAAAAAGGAAGAGAAGGACAGGCAGAGAGATCTTCAGCCTTCTCTGTCAAAGGGGTTCCTAAGACCATCAGAAATAATATGTTTTCTGATTGTCTTTGGTGATCCCTCTGAAACCCCCTCGTGACCCCCCCCCCCCCCCCCCCCGGCGTTGAGAAATGTTGCTTTAGGCTCACAGGATGTCCTTCTCTTTTGGAGGATGGAGAGCTAGCTGTGTCTCACACCTTGCCTTATTGTCCTTAGCTGGCTTTAATGAGAAATGAGAACAGGGTGGCCATAACCTTTCAGATGCCTTTCTGTACTTCTGAAGAGAGCTGTTGTGCATTTTAGCCCACCATCTTGCCCAATTCACTGTCCCTTTGAAATCTTTCAGGTTCTGAAAATGGAACAGATGCCTCCCAGATCACCATAGAGGAAGGCGAAAGTGTGGTCTTATACTGTAAAGCAGTGGGCAACCCATCAGCCAACGTAACGTGGTTAAATGGATCAAATAATATCATAGCAGACAATGAACTGAAGCTTTACAAGGTCAAGACCCAAGGTGATTACATATGCCTGGCAACAAATTCAGAGGGCTCCAATAATAAAGACTTCCGCATCCTCCTAAAATGTAAGTAATGCCGCTTTCAGATTTGCATGTGGGGAACACTGTGGGAAAGTGAATCTGAACTGGAGGTGTTTGGTCTGGTTCAGCAAGAATCTTTCTGATTTTCTAGGAGACTAGTCTTCAAATCTTTCCTCTCTATATGGGTTCTATGGTGATAGAAATTTAGACCTAAAGGGAGGGTTTTCCCCCCAAAACAAGTGACCTCCAATCAAGTATTGTCCATTTATGTAGCTAGCAAAATTAAGAACGATTTAGTCATGCTTCACTCTTTATCCATGTTACATCAACCAGTGTGTTAAACCCCTGTGCCAGCAGGATTGAAGACCGATAGGTCGCAGGTTCGAATCCAGGGAGAGTGCAGATGAGCTCCCTCTATCAGCTCCAGCTCCTCATGTGGGGACATGAGAGAAGCCTCCCACAAGGATGGTAGCACATCAAAAACATCCAGGCGTCCCCTGGGCAACATTTTATTATTATTATTAGTAAACTTTATTTGTACCCCGCTAGCATCTCCTGAAGGATTCGATGCAGCTTACAAGGCCTCAACACAACATCCTTGCAGACAGCCAATTCTCTCACACCAGAAGTGACTTGCAGTTTCTGAAGTTGCTCCTGACATGACATGACATGAACTAAAAAAGACATATTTAGCGAACTATAAATCAGGCATTTAATTTTTTACTACACAGCTTGTACCATGTCATTAAAGAGGCTGAACTATATTACAATAGACATCAGATTTCAGGTCCTTTGTAGGTCTGAATCATTTCTTTGTCTTGGGACCTGAAGCTGAATTAGAGCCTGGCAAAGAGAAATAACTATATCCTGTGATTTGTAGCAGGTTCAGAGTGCCTTTACCTTCATACCAGTTCAGGTAGCATGGAAAAGCATGATGGGAATTGCAATCCAACAACATTCTGAATTCCCCACAAGTTTCTGGGCAACAAGTGGGGAGAGAATTCCTAGTTTCTTCTCCAGTTAGGAATTCCATTCCAAGTCTTATAATTTACTAAATCTAGTTCCCTTCTTCCAGGAGGTATTCAATGTTCTCTCGCTACTTCGTGATTCGCTTTTAGCGGACTCGCTGTTTTGCAGTTTTCAAAAAATATTAGTTTAAAACATATATCACGGTATTTTTGCTGTTTTGTGGATTTTTGCCGCTGCAGCTCTCCAAGGCACTTTTCCTCCTCAGTCCTCCCTCTAGACTTGAAGGGCCTTTCCTTCCTTTCCTTCACTTTATTTTAAGTAAAATAGCATATAACTACTAAAATAATGTATAAATATTAAAATAAATATAGCGGTCCTACATCGCAGTTTTTCACTTATTGTGGGAGGTCCTGGAACGTAATCCCCGCAATAAATGAGGGAACACTGTATTGGAAAAAAGGGAAGCCAGTGATTCCTGACATCTTAAACTATTTCATTTCTGATCACCTTTCAGGAAGAGAAATGTTTACATGACTTCGGGTATATAAACATAGAAAATAGGCATAAAACTCAAACATTTAATGATAATAAATCAACATTTGCAAGACTTGCTAGACAGGCTGATTTTCCTTCTTATGAAGTATAGCTGAAGCATTTTCTTTCAGAGTCCACTGTAAACCAGGTTTGGGCAAACCCAGGCCCGGTGGCCGGATGCGGCCCCTTGGGCTCTTTCCTTAGGCCCCCCTCTCTCTCACCATCCTATCCTATCCTATCCACCCTCCCTCCCTTTTCTCTCTCTTTCCTTCCTTCTTCCCTTCCTCCTTCACCTCCCTCTTTCTCCCTTCCTCCATCCTTATATCCATTCTCACCTAGCTGTTTACTCAGTTTTCATCTCTGTCTCAGGCACTCAGCGCATGTTCAGACGCCCCTGTTTCTTCACTCATTTTCAGAAATCAATTCCTGGCCTTGGCAAACCACAGTAGTAGGGATTGATTACTGACTTGAAATGAAGATTTGGACCAGCACTGTATTTTCCTGAGTTTTCAAATGTGATTTTTATCATTCTTTCCTCCCAATTCTCTAAAGAGCTTTCAGCATTTGGCCCGAAGGCAAGCTTGAGTGAGATTTTATTAAGTGTATCCGCGTTAATAACTTTAATTTTAGAGATAAATGATTGCTATTAGAATAATTTAGTGCTGAACTGTTAAAAGTTTATTATTTTCTTCTAATGGCTAGCCAAAGAAAGTAATTAGCATGAGCACTTCCATGTATTTATTTTTAATTGTAGAGATAATACTTCCGATTTTTAAAAATCATCGCCACGCTTTTAGGTGCAGTTTTAACGAGGGATAACATTGGCAATTACCGCTCATTTAATGCTAGACTGGAAGATGTCTTTGCTGTGTTCATAAAAGATACTTTGTCCAATTCACTGGAGACTGGAGAGCTGGGAATCACTCCATTCAATTCATTGGATTTCCTTCTGACCAAACACATACAATGCCGCAATACAATGGTATGGTATGTAGTAGGCCTGTTTGGGAGAAAGAGGGGGAGAGGGGAGAGAGGGGGAGAAAGGGAAGGGGAGAGGGAGGAAGAGGGAGAGAGAGGGGGAGGGGGAGAGAAGGGAAAAGGGGAGGGGGGAGAGAGGAAGAGGAGGAGGAGAGAAAGAGGAAGGAAGGGAGGAGGGAAGGGTAGAAGAAAAGAAAGAAAGAAGGGGAGGGAAGAAGAGAAGAGGAGAGGAAAAAGAGGAAGAGGGAGGGGGGAAGGGGAAGGAAGAGGAGGAAGAGGGAGGAGAGGAGGAAGGGGGAGGGGAAAGGAGAGAAGAGGGAGGAGGGGGAGAGGGGAAGAGAGGGAGAAAGAGAAGGGGGAGGGAAGGAGGAGGGAGGGAAGGGGGGGAGAGAAGGGGGGAGGAGGGGAAAGAGAAGGAGAAGGAAAGAAGGAGAAGAGGAAAGGAGGGGGAGAGAGAGGGAGGAGGGGGAGGAGGGGAGAGGAGGGGAGGGGAGGAGGAAGAAGGAAGGGGAGGAGGAGGAAAAGAAATGTAGGTCTTACAACTCCCTGGTTCAAAACCCAACTCATTTGTGAATTCACTAGAGCAGTGGTTCTCAACCTTCCTAATGCCACAGCCCCTTAATTCAGTAATTCATGTTGTGGTGACCCCCAACCATAAAATTATTTTTGTTGCTACTTCATAACGGCAATTTTGCTGCTGTTATGAATCATAATGTAAATATCTGATATGCAGGATGCATTTTTATTCACTGGACCAAATTTGGCACAAATACCCAATACTCCCAAATTTGAATACTGGTGGGGTTGGGGGAAATTATGTCATTTGGGAGTTGTAGTTGCTAGGATGTATAGTTCACCTACAATCAAAGAGCCTTCTGAACACCACCAATGATGAAATTGAGCCAAACTTGGCACACAGAACTTCCATGACCAAGAGGAAATATTGAAAGGATTTGGTGGGCAGTGACCTTAAGTTTTAGAGTTGTAGTTCACCTACAACCAGAGAGCACTGTGGACTCAAATAATGATGGATCTGGACCAAACTTGGCACAAATACTCAGTATGCCCAAATGTGAACACTGGTGGAGTTTGGGGAAAATAGACCTTGACATTTGGGAGTTGTTGCTGGGATTTATAGTTCACCTACAATCAAAGAACATTCTGAACCCCGCCAATGAGAGAATTAGGCCAAACTTCCCACACAGAACCCCCATGACCAACAGAACATACTGTGTTTCCTGATGGTTTTTGCCAACCCCTCTGACCACCCCTCCTGTAACCCCTCCCCCCCGGGGGGTCCCAGCCCCCAAATTGAGAAATGCTGCACTAGAGGGATTTGGACAAATTCTGATCTTGTTGCCTTGATCTGGAATATGGGAACGATATTAATGGGAATAGCTCCAAATGTTGTTTTAGGGATTACAAAGGCTTATTGGTGCATCTGGAAGACTCAATTGATGACCCCCCCCCACCACCACCACCGCATTACACATCAGTCTAGAAATGAGGGCATACCCAATGGAGTGATACCTGCCAAGAGAAGGTGATGGGGGAAGAATATGGATGGAAAACATTTCCCTGCAAGAAAAAAAAAATATGCATGAAAAAAGCCAACCTTGGTCTGAAAGGGTTGGAATGGACTGTTCTAACCACATATATTAGTTCATGGGGTAGAACAATAAGATACAATCGCATTTTCAAATGTTGACCACGTCCTTTCGGCCTTTAAATAACTACAGAAAGCCCTTAAAATAGGAGGGGTAGAGTGAGGAGACCAGAACATTGCTTATTTTTCAGGCACATTTTGACATCTGTTCATTTAATGGGCAAACCATAAAATTTAATAAGCGATGACGTGCAGCCTTGTTGAAATATATTTATTGCAGCCATGCATAGCCAATTGATTTTGGAAAGGGAGGAGGACAGGGAGGAAAGAATCTAAGAACTCATAATTTAGAAAGGGTGTAGTATAGAAGTGTCCATAGTCAGAAAGGTGAGATTAGGTTTGGAAATTGCGTCTTAGGAGCAATAATGGAAAGTGCCGAAAGAGCTGAAATAAGTCTTTGCTTAGGCTGGGAAAAATTATGAGGAAACATGCTTGCTGCCTTTGAATATGTAACTAGTCATTTGGAAGGAGATGGAATGGATTTATTCTCTGCTGCCTCAAAAGGCAAGGCTGGAGCAAAGTTTGGAAATGTAGAAAATGCCATTTTGAATGTAATACTGAAACTGGGTTGTTGTGAGTTTTCCGGGCTGTATGGCCATGTTCCAGAAGCATTCTCTCCTGGCGTTTCGCCTGCGTCTATGGCAGGCATCCTCAGAAGTTGTGAGGTCTGTTGGAAACTAGGAAAATGGGTTTAGTTTCCAACAGACCTCACAACCTCTGAGGATGCCTGTCATAGATGTAGGTGAAATGTCAGGAGAGAATGCCTCTGGAACATGGCCATACAGCCCGGAAACTCACAACAACCCAGTGATTCCAGCCATGAAAGCCTTTGACAATGCATAATGCTAAAAGTTTCACAGATGGCCAACAATACCATTAGGCAATATAAGAATTGCTCAAAGCATCAGATGTTTATATGTATGTGTGCATGTGGGAACATAGCCATTGGTTCCTCCTTATCCCTTGGAGGGCAAAGTTGTATGTAACCTACAGTTTGGCCTTAAGCTCATGAACTAGCATACTACCCTCAGCTGTGATGGGGTTGTATTGCTATTATTATTTTTAATTATAAGATACTGCACATTGTATGTCAGCCTGTTCAGTCCCAAAAATCAGTGGATTGGCAAAATGTTCTGAAACTTGGCAGGCTTGCATTCATAACTGTGGCCTAAAAGTGAGTCGGGTTTCATGCTGATAGTGCTAAAAATGATGGAGAAATGAGCCTCTAATATTTCCTCATTGGCACCAATGGTTCAAATCTTACCAGAACAAAAACAGAACCCCCTTGCTTAGGCCTGGGTAACAACGGAAAAATTTGTTTCTAAAATCGATTCGTTTTTTGGGGGGTTTTGCATTTCGATATTTAAAAGAATTCCGAAATTTTTCTTTTAAAAAGTTCGATATTTACGAAATTTCGTAAATGTTAAAAAAATTACGAAACATTAACGAAACAAATACGAAACAATAACGAATCGATTCGTTAATGGCGGACGCGACCGCAATACGCTAAAAAACCTCCAAATGGGACAGGGGGAACTTCTGAAGCTTCCCTCTCCCTCTGTTGTTGACTGTTGGTGTGATATTATAATTTTTCACTAATTAAACAAAAAACAACTATAAAACTTGCCCCAGACATGCGGAAATAATAACGAAACGACCTCAAACCGATAACGAAACGAATACATAACGAATCCGAAGCATTTACGAAACGAATTTAAAAATTCGTTTCATTTTTAAGTTGCTCCAGAATGGTTCGTTATCACTTCGTTATAAAAAAAAATAACAAATTTTTAACGAATTACGAATTAACGAAACAAAACCGCCCAGCCCTATCCTTGCTGATTTCGGGATCTTCATGGTAAACAGAATGTTTTTTGGGGGGAGCCAAAAACAGGACCAAAAATTGCATTTTTTTTTCTGAATCGCACACCCCTCTTCTTGACATGGGCTGGAGCATGGCACCGTTTTGTCCCTACAGAATGACTCTACAACAAATTAGGTGCCATTTCTATGGTTCTCCACTGAAAACATCCATATCAGTAGGATGGCAAATTTATTTATTATTTATTTAATACATTTGTATCCTGCCCTTCTCACACCCGAGGGGGGACTCAATGCGGCCTCACAGCAAGCACCATTCGGTGCCATCACAATTATAGAAACATTCAACAAATTCATTAAAAACAGGACATTAAATAAACAATGGTTAAAAAACATGCCAGTTAAAGCTCAGGTCAGTTCATTGTCGCTTTGGGTTGCTTAAGTCTTCTTCTCATTTGCTGCTATTCAATTGTCAAAAACTTGGTCCCATAGCCAAATCTTGAGTTTTCTTCTAAAGGACAGGAGGGAGGTGGCCAGTCTGATGTCCACAGACGGGGGACCACTGCTGAGAAGACCCTGTCCCTCGTCCCTGATGGTGGTGGGATTAGAACAGGGCCTCTCCAGATAATCTTAAACTTCATGATGGTTTGTAACAGGTGATAAGTTTAGACAGGTAGTCTGGGCCAGAACCATTTAGGGCTTTAAAGGTTAAAACCAGCACTTTGAATTGTGTTCGGTAGCAGATCGGCAGCCAGTGGAGCTGACGTAACAGAGGAGTTGTATGCTCCCGTATGCTGCTCCAGTGAGCAACCTGGCTGCCAACCGTTGGACTAGTTGAAGCTTCCAGGCAGTCTTCAAAGGCAGCCCCAGGTAGAGTGCGTTGCAGTAGCCTATTCAGGATGTAACAAGATCATGGGCCACTGTTGCCAAGTCAGACTTCCCAAGGAACGGGAGTAGCTGGTGCACAAGTTTTAATTGTGCAAAAGCACCCCTAGCCACCGCTGGAACCTGGGGTTCCAGGTTCAACAATGAGTCTAGGATCACTCCCAAGCTGCGAACCTGTGTCTTCAGGGGGAGGGCAACCCCGTCGAACACAGGCTGTAACCCTATACCCTGTTTGGCCTTTTGACTGACCAGGAGTACCTCTGTCTTGTCTGGATTCAATTTCAATTTGTTTGCCCTCACCCAGACTGACACAGCCAAGCACCGGTTCAGGACCTGCACAGCCTCCTTAGTGACAGGTGGAAAGGAGTGATAGAGCTGAACATCATCTACGTACAGATGACATCTAACCCCCAAATCCACCTTCCAATTTGAGTCAGGAATGAAAAGGAACTATCTGAAATATAAAACCCTAATCCTCATAGGTTCTGCATGGGAGATAACATTTAAAGTTTGGACTAAAACCAGAGTGGACTAGCTCACCCCACTGGCTGCTCCTAACTACTCTGCTCCCACTTCCAGGGAATGTGTGGCTTGTGCACCAAATCTCTTTGCTCCACAGTAGGAATGAAACAAAATATATTGGGAGGCTGAGTTGTTAGGAAGGACAAACATTCTGCTCCACTGACTTCTACCATTCCTTCTCATAACTTAGCATCGGGGAATCCGACGGAGCCATCGAATGCTGTTTATCCAGCGGTGGGTGCCCTGGCTGTGATTGCGGTCATTGCGTTCATCATTGCAATCATCTTGATTTTCAAAAGGTAAGTAACAATTATTGTTTTTTGTTAATTTCTGGATGGATGGAGAAGCGAGTTGACAATCAAAAGGAGCTGGAACAGGGAGAATGCGTGGCAAGAAGGTGAAAAGCATTGTGAGTGAACTGTGATCCTTATGCACATGAACACACAGTATAATTTGTTCTTGTTTCCATTTTGCAAACTATTTTTTACGAGCATCCAGCCTGATATAAAAATGGCTGGATCATACTGAGCCAAGCAAATAGTGTCATCTCCAGGTAAGGGAGGGAATCCGCCCCCCAAATAAGAATTCTACCCCCTTGATATGTTCCATCATCCGTTCCCAAATGTTTAGCATTGCAGTAACTGTAAACATCAGCTGAGCCTTTAGAACTCGGTGCAGTTTTGGTACCCAAAGAAAAAGGGAAGGCAAAATAACTAAGGTAATGAAAACATAGTATCTCTGTGTTGCAAGTCTGAAAGGTGTTCATTGTCTCAGCCTCCTACAATGATAGAAATGTGCAGTCAAAATGAACTTTTAATTCTTTTGAGCAGTGTGAGCGTTTTATAGGAATGTTTACAAAATTATGTGAGCCACTTCTCAGAATTTGGAAAAGTTGTTTTCGGGTAGGACATTGTCAAACACTTTCCAGACAACATGAATCAACTATGCAAAGTGATCTTTCCAAGCTCTGACAAGTCTTAGGACCTTTCCAGACATTCATCTTCTCTCAAAGGGCCCTTCCACACAACCATATAACTCAGAATATCAAGGCAGGAAAGCCTTGAACTGGAATATATGACAGTGTGGACTTAGATAACCCAGTTCAAAGCAGATATTGTGGGATTTCTTGCCTTGATAACTGTACAATGAGATTGGGCATCGTCCATTGACTGGATGATGAGATCGGACAATGTTTTAACTAGGAGATGAAATTGATTTATGTTTTTATTGTTCTTGTTATGGTTTTATATTATGTATTAATATTTTTAAATGTTTGATGGTGTTGTTGGCATTGAATTGTTGCCTCAGTAAACCGCCCTGTGTCACCTGAGGGCTGAAAAGGGCAGTATACAAATATGGTAAAGAAATAAATAATAAATAAATTGATATTCTGGGTTGTATAGCTGGGTGGAAAGGTCCCGAGTGGCTACTCAGATTGCCCATCTGGTTGTTGTTGTTCTGGCAGGTAAATGGCTGCTTCTTGCGTCCATTAGGCTTTTTTGCAGACCGATTGTATTCACAGGGCCAGTAACACAATTTAATTTATCCACTTCCAACAAAGGCATTTTTAGGTCCTGTCTTACTCTATGATATTATGGCTTAAAGTTTTCATATCAATAGGGCTTGCTATTATCCATGGCATTGCATATCCACACAGTATGGGAATGTATCCCCCATGGATATGTATTTGCAAAAACAGCATGCGTTAGATCAGTGGTTCTCAACCTGGGGTCCCCAGATGTTTTTGGCCTTCAGCTCTCATAAATCCTAACAGCTGGTAAACTGGCTGGGATTTCTGGGAGTTGTAGGCCAAAACCATCTGGGGACCCCAGGTTGAGAACCACTACGTTAGACATATAAACCTAAAAACAGCATGCATCAGATATATAAACCCAATTTTCCTAGTTTCAACAGATCTCACAACCTCTGAGGATGCTTGCCATAGATGCAGGCAAAACATCAGGAGAGAATGCTTCTAGAACATGGCCATATAGCCCAAAAAACCTACAACAACCCACAACATGCATTGTTGGGTGATCCATGTAGGGCAGGGCTGCTACTCCTATTTGCTTTTGAACTTCCTAAAGGAATCTAGTGTATCACTTTTGGGAATCAAGATCATGGACCAGGCCAGATATATTTTTGGTTGGGTCCAGAGAAGGCCTTTTGATGTTCTTATCTTGGTAGGGAACCAGTTTGTGTGTCATTGTTTGATTAATTGAGTAAGAATTTGGGAGATCCAGGTTTAAGCCACCACTGAGCTCTCAAATGCAATCACTTTGAACCATTCCATGTTTCTCAGCTTTACTTGTATCACAGGTTAGATCAAATAGTAAAAAAAAAATCAATTAGAGATAAAAATGAGGTTTGGGCGCTTGGAAACCCCAACAAGGAGAATCTTGGACAGACGAAAAAATGCACTTTTGTTGTTGTATGTCAAAAATGGAATTTTCCAATTAAGCAACCCATGTTTTGGGTATTTGCAAAAGGAGATGGGAGTAGAATAAATCTTGAATTATAAGTATTCCTCAAAATGCCCACAATTGTTAAGGACTTTCTTGCAAAGGTGAGAAAAACAGTCCATTTATTTGTTCTTGCCCTTTCCTTTGAAATGTACAAATTACAAGATTGTTGTGAACATGCTTTTTTAGGTGGAAGAGAGCCTTGACATTACCCTGAGCTCACTGGGAATATGACTATGCCTAATAAATATGTAAAAGTTATGAAGAACGAGGTTGTCGAACATTTAATAAGACGCAAACTCTGAAATTCCCACTAACTGCTTCTGTTCTGTTCCCTATGCTTTGGAAAATCTCTTTTTGGAATTACAGGCTCTAGATCAGGCATGGGCAAACTTCACTCCAGGTGTTTTGGACTTCAACTCCCACAATTCCTAACAGCCAGTAGGCTGTTAGGAATTGTGGGAGTTGAAATCCAAAACACCTGGAGGGCTGCAGTTTGCCCATGCCTGCTCTACACTCTCCCAGTCAATTTGATAGCAGCAAGTGGAGGGCTTTAGGTAAAAATGACATAGCAGCAGAACAGGCTAGTTGGGGCGAGCTATCAACAGTTCTGCTTGCAGTAGCAAATGGAGTCAAACCCATTTTCTCAAATGTTTATCACATAGATCTTTATAGACCTAGTGAGTGGAATTGGTCTTTGGAGAGAACGTTCACACAGGGCAGGCCCGTAGCCAGGATTTCGTTTCGGGGGGGGGGCTGAATTTTTTTCAGGGGGGGTTTCGGGGGGGGGGCTGAGTTTCGGGGGGGGCTGAGTCTGAGTGAAAGAGGGTCTACCCTAGCAAACCTTTTGTATCATTACCCCAATACCCCCATGCATATGGGATATATTGAGTATGGTGATCAGATCATGATATGAATAAACATAACAGTTTAAATAATGCACCAGTAAGGCCTTTTCACGAACCACCATGAGAATTTCGGGGGGGGGGCTGAAGCCCCCCAGCCCCCCCCCCCCCCCCCCCCGGCTACATGCCTGACACAGGGTAGTACAGAGACGCATTGGTGTGAAAACACAAACATCAAGAGCCTTGGGGTGTTGTGCCGTTTCCGGGCTGTGTTCTAGCAACATTTTCCCCTGACATTTCGCCGATGCAGGCAAAATGTCAGGAGAAAATGTTGTTAGAACATGGCCAACAGCCCAGAAACCATACAACACCCCGGTGATTCCAGCCATGAATGCCTTTGACAATACATCAACAACATACATCTATGAGCTAGATTTATTATAACTGTGTCATATGGGACATCCTATTTTTGAAAGCTTGGAGCCTATATCCTGTGTTACTTGAACAACGTGGGTCACACTCTCTGAGCATTTGACTATGGCAGTCAGACCTCATCGCAACCTAAGGATCTTCTATGGGGACCACATTGCTGCTGCCTCTGGACAGCAGAGACTATTTAAGCAGCACTGTGACCTTTTTCTCTCCTGATAAAGAGCATGTTTTCTGGGTTCTCTTAAAAGCTGAAATCTCACAGAAGTCATGAGATTTCAGGGGGATTGCTTATTTCCTTTTTTGTGTGTCAGGAGTGACTTAAGAAACTGCAAGTCCCTTCTGGTGTGAGAGAATTGGCCGTCTGCAAGGACATTGCCCAGGGGACGCCTGAATGTTTGATTTTTTTAAAACCATCCTTTTGGGAGACTTATTTCATGTCCTCACATGGAGATCTGAAGCTGACAGAGGGAACTTGATTTACTCTCCCTGGATTCAAACCGCTGACCTATCGGTCAGCCTTCCTGCAGGCACAAGGATTTAACCCATTGTGCAACCAGGGGCTCCACTTAGAATCATAGAATCATAGAGCTGGAAGAGACCTTGTGGGCCATCCAGTCCTATCCCCGGCCAAGAAGCAGGAAAATTGCATTCAAAGCACCCCCAACAGATGGCCATCCGGCCTCTGTTTAAAAGCCTCCAAAAAAAGGAGCCTCCACCACACTTTGGGGCAGAGTGTTCCACTGCTGAACAGCTCTCACAATCAGGAAGTTCCTCCTCATGTTCAGATGGAATCTCCTTTCTTGTAGTTTGAAGCCATTGCTCAGCATCCTAGTCTCCAGGGCAGCAGAAAACAAGCTTGCTCCCTCCTCCCTATGACTTCTTGCATGAGACTTGTATAGACCTCCTGCTCCTGCCCTGGTTAGTCTTAAATTGACCTGGTAAGTGGGGGACCTTGCCTTTTATTTCTTTAAGCAAACCTGGCAGCCCTGTTTACACCACAGATCCTCAAGGCAGTATATATGGCTCTCTCAATCCTCCCCATAACTTCACAACAATCCTGTAAGGAAGGCCATGCTGGGATTTACTGGCTCCATGGGCACCAAGTGAATGTCATGGCTAAATGTAAATTAGATCTCTGGTCTTTCAAGGGCCAGCCAACCACCCTAAAGATGTATATTACTCCAATTACAGTAGAGTCTCGCTTATCCAACCTTTGGATACGTTCTGTATTATCCAACACAGTCTGCCTCCTACCCGGATCCACACCTGTTTCAATACATTGTGATGTTTTGGTGCTAAATTCGTAAATACATTAATTACTATGTAATGTTACCATGTATTGAACTGCTCTTTCTGCTGATTTGTTGTAAAATATGTTTTGGTGCTTAAGTTGTAAAATCATAACATAATTTGATGTTTAATAAGCTTTTCCCTATTAATAGCTCCTTATTATCCAACATTTTTGCTTATCCAACGTTCTGCCAGCCTGTTTATGTTGGATAAGCGAGACTCTACTGTATCTCATTTATAATTGTAATATCTTGGACTATGTCTCCCATC